AAAAGCAAGCAGATCATGGCTATTGCTTTGAACAGGTTTCTGCTGCTAAAAGAACTCATTGCTGATGAAATGGGGCGAATGAGGAAACTTGATTGCATAGGTGAGCAAGGAAGGAGACGTGTATATATAGAAGTTGCTCCTGGTGCACAGTCCAAACCTCCCGAAGTATTTGTCCATTAGGATCAAGAGTGACACTAAGAGTGGCACTAAGAGGGGGGGGAGGGGGGGGGGGGGGGAGGGGGGTGAATTAGTGCAGCAAAAAAATCATTGATTTCCAAAAATATTCGTTTCGATTAAATCTGTTTCGGAAAGATATTAAACTTGAAAGCGTTCGTAAGAGTGTAAAGAGAAAGTTAAGTTTACAGTAATGTAAATTGCACAAATAGAAATGCAAACCAGAATTTATAGTGGTTCGGTCGTTGTGACCTACATCCACTTCCGATTCCTCTTCCGTCGAGATCATCGGCGTCCACTAATGGCCTTCCTTCAATAGATGGAGACTAACCACCTTTTACAGCTCTTTTTCCTTTTACCGAGTTTAGGAGATAACCCTTACAAGCCTCACTCCTCTTTCTTTGAGGGTTACAAAGCTAAGAGAGGGAGGAGAGGACTCTTCTCACTTTTACAATACTTTTAACACCCCAAACACTTAGAAATTTCACACTTTCGATTGCACTTTGTTATCCTTTCATGCAGAAAAAGGTGGGGTATTTTTAGGCTCCAATGGCTTCAAAATTTGAGCAAAAAATTATCTCATCCCAGATTTCTGGGGTACCGACGGTACCACCGCCATTATTGGGCGATACTACTGCCTAACAAAGCTCGGAGACCGAGCTCTGGCGGTACCACCACCTGACAGTCGATACCACCATTGGCGGGTAATAATTGCCGGCGGTATCATCGCCCAGTCCTCCTGGGAGACTGTCCCAGGAGGTGCCAATGCCCCAATCCTACGGTGCCATCGCGGGACAGGGTCCAACAACCTGGGTGGGCCTTGAATCCGACCCAAACCAACCTAACTTTAGGCCCAATTGGCCCCTAACAGAGTTGATGGGTTTACCTCCCAAATATAACTCTAATTGTATACTAACTATAATTCTTAAGACATATAATTAAGCAAATCAAGTCCGGTTAGTCTTAGTTTCTTCCAGTGAGCTTTTGACGATCTTCCGACGAACTTCCGATGATCTCTCAACAATATTCCAATGGACACCCGACAAGACCAAATTGACCATACAACCCATGCAAGGCCGAACCATAACATGGAGCGCTACAGCAATGCACAAGACCAAATAGGCCCAAAGAGCGTTACAACAAGGTGCTAGGTCGAATCGACACTGTGAACGCTACAACCCACACGAGGCCAAATCGGCTCATGGAGCGCTACAACAACGCACAAGGCCGGATCAGCTCATAGAGAGCCACAACCTGCCTAATTGGCCAAAAAGGTGTGGATTCACTTGGTGTCCGTAAAGTTTGACTTGGTATTGACTTTAGAAAGGTTGCTCGGTTGATTCCAAATCAGCTCCCAATTTGGACAACCAAGATCTCACTTAAACGGTTTATATACAATTTGAGTACATAGTTTTATATGTTCCTTCTAGTTACCTGCACATTCTTTCTTCTCTTTATTGCTCTTTCTTGTTCCCATTTCACTTGATGAATCGGATAACAATACACTGGATGATTGTAGTCCAAACATATCATAGTAGACCAACAAGTGGTTTATAATTTATTTAAGAATACTTTGAGGATAAGAACATCAACGACGATAATGACGACGGCAACAACAACAAGGATGACGATGGGGACAACAACAATAAAGACAACGATGATGACGACAACTGCTGCTCCTTATTTAGTATAACATATGTGTAGCAGCAACCCTACACGGACTAGTGCATCCATATCTAGGAATCAGCCAAGGAGCAGTACACCGCAATGGCTCCCACGGCGACAGTCAGTTGACCAACAAGTCCACAGAAGCCCACAATTTGACCACCCTCCTCTAAAGCGAGGGAGAAAGGATTGCCCGTCTCATTGCCAGCACTTACGTTTCTGTTTTCATCGGTGGTAAGAGTAAGTTGTGTTATGAAAATGTCGTTTCCCAACATTTGTTTGAAGTATCCCGAGATGGAAATGAAGTGTTCGTCCTCATCGAGGGTAATCTACAAGCGATCATTGGCTGAGTTAGAAATGAAACCCAGAGGAAAAAGAATAAGAATTTGGAACTCTTCCAATGCTTTATCTGTTCTCAGAAAATAGCAATTAGATATAAGATGGTTTTCCTAGAATACTGATGTGCTTTTGTTCTAACATGCATTGAAACACAAGAAAATTTGTACATGTACATGCGAGTTCATAGATGTTAATAAAAAATGTATACCTCTTGGGATGCGCGCTTTTTGGTTCCAATAAGCATGGGGGGTTGGGGTTTACCACCCACGACGAAGGTTAATTCCAACCCGTATATTACATCTCCATGGTAAATCTTGACCTTGGTAAAGCGGTCAACACGACCTGTATCGAACGCATTCCCTGCGTTCGCACCCCACGGCCCCTCCTTGACAACTTTA